TCCCCCCGGGGGGGGGGGGGGGGGGGGGGGGGGGCAGACAGATTGATCGCCCGGTAAAAACATGATGAGCGACGAAGCGGACGGTCGAAGAGCTGAACTGGAAGAAAATCAGGGTGTAACCAGAGAACGTAAGGTTATGGTGATGTTCATGAAGCGAGCTTTGGGGGAGTGTCTCGCACGAGAGCGCCCCACCTCAAAGTCGCAGGCGGCCAACAGGTCGCCCGCCCTCCTCCGAACAAACCCCACTTCGATCGCCTTCGTGGCTGTCCAGAGAATGCCCGCGAAAGTCTGCAGGAAACCCAAAAAATGAAGCGGCGGGGAGACCGACAGGCCGGCAGGCAACGGGGCGGGCGGCAGCGCGGCAAAGAAGACGCGGAACGGAAAGGCGTTAGCAGCAACGGCAACGGGCGGGATGTGAGTTGGATCGAAATGTTTTTTAGGCTGATGTGTATCGTTGAGATCCCTATTTAGTTTCTTTCGATACTTAGCACAAACTTTAAAACACCCACGGGAGAGCTGTTCCAAGTCCTCGTCCAGCAGAAACCGACGACAATCGCCAGCACTTCGCCAACAAACGAACACCGCTTGACCGAGGCATGAGCAAGCACCAAGTCCACCACGACGGCTCCGGAGACCCCCCCCCCCGCCACCGCTGACCGCATCGAGCCGACTCCGCCCCCGACGCACCACCAGCTAACGTCTCGAGCCAACCACAACCAAGAGTTGAGGAGCGACTGACTCACCGAGATGATGACGACGTCGACGTTCTTGGTGAGGTAGGGGGGCCACTTCCGCCACTTGACGAGGTGGGCACAAACGCCCAGCGCCACGAGCTGGAAGGTGGAAACCATACCCAGGACGAAGAAGTCCAGCATGCCGAGCGGTTCCCACGGCTGGTTGTCCGACATCCTTCTCCTTCCTTGGGTTGTCTGCTTCCGGCCAGGGTTTGTCTGCGCTCGATCGTCGCTATCCGATCGTAGCTCTTGCCCTACCCGGACCCGTGCGCTCGCTGTCGAAGTTTTTCGTGGTGTTGGAGACGCTGCGTACACGATGGCCTGTGTGACCCGCTGCCCCACCTCCTTGTTCTATGCTTGTGCTCAGGTAGAGTTTCTTCTCCTTCGGGGTCGTATCTAGGCAGAACGGACACCAATCCGCCTCGGCGCTGTTGCTTCTTTGTGTCGCTTCCAGAAACCGCTCGTTGTCTGTTTTTTCCACCCGTCTAGGGTTGCGTTGAACCTCCCGTGCCCCCTGGTACCGCGGAAAGCCCTGGTCGAACCACACGCACACTATGCCGAGGACGGTCGTCGAAGCAGGAAAGGACCGGCAAAACCTCGTGGGACTAAAGAGCGACCACCAGCCAGCCAACGATGTCTCCTCAGAGATTCTTCCGCCGTGTCCAGTGCCTCTGGCTTTGCCCCCGTCCCCCCGTCTCTTTTCTTTTGGTGTCCTACTCCTCCCTCCCCGGTTCCCTTTCGTAGCTAGCTTTTTTGTTGCGTCTCTTTTTTTCCTCGCCCCCTCTCTCTCCCTCCTTTAGCCTCGGGAAGGGAAGAACCGAGAGACTCTCTCACCACACAAGATCCCTGCCAACGTCCTGCAGCACGTGCGGAGACTGTTGCACCGAAAAAGCCGGTCAGGGGTGAGTGTGTGAGGCAGTGGCCACGAATAACACCTAGATAGCAGACACGTGTAGCCAGGACAGGATAGGCCTTTGGTAGGGGGGGGGGGGGGTGGCCCAACGCATGTCTTAACATTTAAGCGGGCTCTGTGGAGGCTAGCTCTGTTGGACCCATCATCAAGAGTGCAATCTCCCCAACGTCTGCCGGAAAGGATATCTCCACATCTTCCTGTTCTCTGTATCCGTTGCTGTGCCACTACTATGTTTCTCTACTGCGAACCGATTCACAAACAGAGAGAGAGAGCGACCTCCGGCGACGGGCGGTGTGATTGGTTGGACATTCGTTGCGCGTGGAAAAGGCAAAAAAAATCCATCGCCACCCCTGTGTATCGCGGGGGGCGTTGTCACCGCTGACAGGGCATTGTCAACTACATTGTGCGCCTTGGCAGGCGTGTTCGTCCATGCAGACGTGTTCGTCCGTGCATGCTCGCGATCAACTACAGTTAGCTCACGCCACACCGTGTCTTACAGTATCTCCGTTCGTAACAGGGCCAACCCGTTCAGTACTTGCTGTGCATGACATTCAAATACATAAACTACTACATCGCAATGCTGTACCAGCATGCATACTACAGCAGTACTGCTGCTGTGTAAATATGCGTACTGTACACAACCAGACGTACTTAATCTATCCAAGCTTCACGCACGCCGCACGGCCAAACCCGACAAGCTGCTGATTCTAAGCGTGATCACCAAGTAATAAGGGTTCCGGAGCGGCGGCAGGTTGGTCGGGGTCTGTTTTTAGGGAAAAATAAATACACACACACACACAGAAAGGCTACCCATTCGAGATATACCCACAGTCGAACAGGATGTGGTGGAGTCTTTTCAGTGAGCGGAGGAAAACCGGCTGGGTACTGGACTTATTTCAGGTATTTTTGTTTGGGGGGGGAGTTGGCCCGCCCCTGCCGTTTGTGCGTGTTTTTATCATTAGCATCGACCGGTTTGTGTGCGGTTTGTGTGTGCGTCTGCGTCTGTCTGTGCGTGTGTGATGACCTATGCAAACACGTCGCTTGGTTTCTGCCCGGCCTTGTGACCCTTGGAGTTTTCTCTCCCAGTTCTGCAAGTTTGGTACAACGTGCTCGTTGTTGAGGCTGTGGGGCTGTCGCTGTGGTTTGTTGGGGGTTCGTCCGGAGTTTTGGGGTGGAATGCGCAGTCGAGCGTTGTTCATTCGACCTCATTGGCCCGTGTTGACAGCCCGTGATGTTGGGCCGGCGGGCAAGGGGTCGGGCCCGTGTGTGTGCTACACCGCATCGGACAGCCGTCGCGTTGGATCAGCAGGGTTAAGGTTAGCAGTCTAGAGGCCGGAAAACAATTGTTGGGCAATCTGCGTGGGTTGGGCAATCTGCGTGGGTTGGTTTCGGTTGATGTTGCTTGTTGGTTTGATGTGGTGTGGTACGCGGGACTGCTTTGTAAGAGAGTCGGAATTGGTGGACACCTCGTTTCGTTCTTTGGGCAAGTGCTTAGGGTCGGGCTTAGGATCGCGCAGGGGGCTGCTGCTAGATTGCTGGACCATATGTGTCGGATCGTCCGCGGTTCGTTTGAGTTGCGAATCGGGCTGTGGGTGGTTAGGTTGGCAATCCGCGTCTTCGCTTGTTCCCTCGCGGTCCACGCTCACACCCCTAGACCACGCAAGACTGCATTCTATTCGAAATCAAAAATAAGACTGTTCTTTGCTTCTCATATTTCCCCAACCAACGCATGACAACATTAAATTCCGGCGGGCGGTTCAGGCGTTCAGGCACAGCAGTGCGGCCCACTCGGTGTGCAAATCTTGGCAGAAGTGACGCGCATCCAACGACTCCTACCTTGCTACCTCTGACCATTCTACAACACACACGTTCTACAACACACACGACGGGCGTTGTGCGGTCTGCGATATATTTGAAATCTGAACATGATCGCAGCTTGCACCGCTTCAGCTGCATGCAGCTGTTCGGAAACAAACGCGCACCTACATTAGTCTGAGTCTTCCCTCCTGCCCTGTCTGTCCTCTCAAGAGTGCGCTGTGGGGTGCACCACAAGCTCTCCCTCTGAGCTCTCTCTCTCTCTCCCCTCCCACCAACGCTTAGCGGCGCACACACTCCTCTCCCTCAGCTGTCCCTCTCCCTCTCTGTCCAGGTGGCTGATTAGAGAAGGGGGTGCTGTATAATGCCGACAGAGCGGGGAAAGCCTCCATCCGTATTTTTGGGGGCCGGGGAAGGAAAAAAGGCCGACGAAATATCGACCATCCGCCACCCTTGCAAGCACTTTGACACAGCAGCAAGCACTTCCACCAAGCACTCTGACCCTCCGGGTTGGAGAGGAAGAGTCAACATGCAACGCCCAGATTCCACAAGAGAGCTGCTTTGCTGTAGACTGGGCACAGGAAGGAGCGATCCCACTCCTGCCCAAGGGTAGAAAACCTGGTCTCTCATCCATCATGCACCAGAGTGTCGCCTGCAGCGGGGTAACAATGAATGAAGGATTATTTGATTGCGGATCAACGCCACAACGTTCGACGCTTCGCTTGCTTCTTAGGTCAATCAACCATCTCCACGCAGGCCGGATAAATTCAGCTTTGTACTTCTATATGCAAAACATTGCTTGGGGGGAGCCCGGACAAATGGAGAAACAATCGATTGAACCAGCCAGACAGATACAACCAGGTTTGTTTCATGGAAGAAGAACAAGCAAAATGTGCCAGGCAGAACTCTAGTCTACAGCAGTAAGTAAGTGGATGGTGGAGAGATACTTCCAGCAGTCCGGTGTGGGCCCGCTTTTACCTCCACTCCTCTCAACCTGACCACCAGAAGTACACCTATATATATATGGCGGCGACCGTTTGAGGCTTATGATGTTACAAGGGAATTGGTTGTCTTGACGGCACGGTCAAGCACCGTTCATACAGACAATTTTTCCTTGTGCGTTCACAGGATTTCTCTCCATCGGGATATGACAGGGATAGATACAGACGATACAGCCGTGCGCGGAATGAAGGAGGAGCAATGATGAATGGATGGTTGAAAGGGGTTCCGATTATTGTATTTCACGCCCACGATCCAGATTGTTTGCCCCTTACTGACGTCCGATCGTTTGTTTGTCTGGCGTTCTTCGAATTTTAATTTTTAGATATCTACAAAGCAAAGAGGGGCACGCGAAGCCATACGTAACGAAGCCTGACACATTCATTCAAGTGATGCGATTTGCCTCAGCTTGTATGCCTCTGTCAACGCCAGCCCAATTACTTACTTGTCATTTCCGGAGAAGTGTGTTCCATGCCCGTCGCGGTGGTATTTTTTCATCCCAAAAAAACACGGTGTACAACTTACCAACGCGTGCGGGAGGGATGAATCGACCAAGGTGTCCGTTTTCAGAGGAGCTATCCTCGTCGCTTCTTGGATCTAGCTAGAGATGTACTGGTCTAGACCGCGAGGTTTTGGACAAAACCCTTAACCGACACGCAACCTGCCAATGGATGCACCCGCTTCCACAACCCGAGATCTGGCAGTGCAGGACCTGGCTGACGATGGAACAGAACACTTTCTCCTTCAATTACGGCGTGAAAAAAGCACGAACAAACAAACAAACAAACAAACAAACAAACAAACAAACACCTCCCGGGGCGCGCGTAGCAAAACCTCACGCAAGAGGGTCAAACTGCAGTACAGTACCACCAGCAAAACAAGACACTCAGACGCAGCCTATAGCGACCAACACGGCACGAGTTGAGTGTGGCAAGCGACGACGTTTCACTGATTCACACTCTCTGATTCACGGAACGTACGTTCGCGTTCCACGTCGCATCTATCTGTAACGCCCATCCCTCCCGACCTCAACAAATCAAAACACTACTTACACGATCGTCACTCAACTAATTCTTCGTCAAGGGTGTGTGCGTGTGTGTGCGGAGGAGGGGGGTTGAAACATCCACCGACCTTCCGAGCTCTCTCACACGGGCCAGCAACCTCAACCCTTTCCGGCGCAATTTCGCAAAACCTTTGTGCAGGCAAAGTACACAGTAATCAGAAAACGGTTTCGCCGGCCTCGATCTCCGAAAACAGCTCCTGTACTCTCGAGTCGGCGACTCCTTCCAGGGTGGGCGGTGACCACGCCGGTTGGTTGTCCTTGTCGATGAGCAGGGCCCGCACGCCTTCGTCGAAATCCCCGTTCATCGCCATGTGCTGGACGGCAGCAGCGAGAGAGCAGGAAGGGGGAGGGGAAGTGGGAAGGGGCGTCGATGGAAGCGTTCACCTCGTCCATTGCCCGTCGTCGTCATCACCATCCATAGCCGGCCTTGTGCGTGCGATTGATTAGTGTTTCTGTGCAGAATAGGAGAGAGAAAGAGCCATCTTCTACCACAGCAGGGTGAGAAAATATGAAGAGGAGCACAGAACGGTCGATCGTTTGCGCCACTGTTATGGCAGCCTGTGTGTGTGGATAAACTATTTTTCCATGATGCCATGACTGAATCCGAACACGTGATGTTCCTTACTGCGTTGATCGCGATACTAGCGTTAACATAACCATTAGAGACCATATGGACGGGGATCCAGAGCGGTCGGACGCTCCCTCATCTGTCCTACAGGGTTTTCGAAGCGTCGGTGGTTAAGCCGCAAGCTTCGACGAAGAAGCAGCAGTTGCGATTCTTCAAGGAGGCGGTCTCGTACCTGAGACTTGTCTATCATGCACCCGGTCTTTAGACTAAACCACCCCCGTGAAGGGAGAGAGAGAACCCCGTGAACACTGTCCACTGTGAACGTATCACGCGCTACTTCTCATTCGGGACACGTGCCGTCGTGTTACTCGAACGTATTGCGGCCGGTTGTACTTCAATCTGAGCTCCAACTAAGCCAAGCCAAGACCCCGTCTCGAGACACCACCTCTCTCTCAAGAGAGAGAGAGAGAGAGAGCGAGAGAGAGAGAGAGAAAACAAAGGAACATATACATATTACACCAGCGGTGAGATGCTCGACAAAACACGGAGGTTGGGAGGGAGATGGGGGAAGAAACGATGGCCGAGAGGCCCACGCGCTGTACTGTACAAGTCTCAAGTCTCATTCGATGTGCCCCCGGAAGCGAGCTCTGCGCCGCCGAGTCACAATATATATCCTTCGAACTACAGCATAATCACCCGCAAGTTTTCGTTGAAATGCCAAGCCTGCCTGTACAAACGCCAGGCCAATGTGTGGCCCCCAAAGAGAGGCCAGGAGAACCACCAAGGCGTTGATGATATACTAAGAGACTGGCCTGCTCAACAGGCAGTACCAAACAGTGCCTCGGCATATAAAACCCACCTGCATGACGCGGAAGTCCTGTTCTAGGCAGTCCTTCAGGGTGGTCGTGGCTGCCCACGAGATATGCCGGTGAGTCACCTGGCGGCGAGGCGAAACGGCAGATAGAAGGGAGGAACACGCGGGGTAGGGGGTCCACACAGACACAGGGGGTCAGGAAGGAGCCCCCCGACCAATTTGGAAGAACGTCGGCAACACGGAACGCTTGAACATGCCGTCAGGCGAACAGCATAGCAGCACGTCGTAAGCACCTACCGTTTCGGGTGGAAAGACTCGATAAAGTCCTTGTGCTACAGAGTCTACGCATTGGAAGGCCGAACAGTTTGTGCCGCCCACGCCCAACCCGAAAACAAATGCTGGACAAAAGCGGCGGAGGACATGGCTTTGGCCCGGCGGGGGAGGACAAACGGCAAGTCCTTTTGGTCCACTAAGCGCCAGTCCAAGCGATATATTCTGGTGTACACACAAAGTGTACTTTTCAGCACTCTGTGAGCCTATACACGCTGTTCCATTGCCAGACACGACCAAGCAAAGTTGCTTTCCATACCAAAGCCAAGGATACATTTTAACAATCGCACCTTGAGAGCGGTGGGGGAGGCCTTCGCGAGGCTTTCCAGCGCGCCCTGCGCCCACTCCCGGCCGCCGGAAGCCTCGGCGACCATCCCCCGCAGGCGAAGCACGATTTCCTCGACGGAGGGGGCTCCGCCGAACGCTTCGTCGATCCAGCGCTTGTTCTGCGCTCGACGTGGGAAGGGGCGGGGTGGAAGGAGGGAGTCAACAGACGCGTTGTATTTAGATGGAAACAAAGTAGATTATGCACCGCGTAACACAGACGACGGAGCGCCTACAATTGTGCCCGCCGCTGCCCAGCGCGTTGTACATCTAAGAGGGCCGTGAATAAAGATACGAGGGACGGGGCACAAAGCAGATCACTCGCAGCCGCGGCAAAGTCGACATTCTTAGTCAGCAACCAGAGTCGGACCTGTTTCTGTGTGAAAGGGAGGTAACCTTCCAAACATGCCGCGCTACCGTGGTTCTGCGGTTTGTCTCGTCGCTAGTACTGTAGAACCATCCGCGGGGCCCCAAGGGTCACACGTTTCGGCGCCAGTCAGGCACAAGGTACATGGTGCTACTCCAATTGGAATAAACAAAACATCACCCGAAACCGCAGTAGACTACGGCGGTGGTGTCCAAATGGTGTTGGATGGGCCAAAGGGGCTCATCCTGTGTCTAGGTTGCCGACACTTTCTCTGACAAGACAGACTGACTGCCGTGGTCTGTTCTAAAGATGCCCTAAATAGGAGCAAAATCTGCAGCAAGCGAAGGTTTCCGCTTCAATGCAACCAAGTACTGGCGCACGCAAGGTGGATCGACCTACGGGCGCTGCATGAACACTCACTCATGGGCGCATGAAGGGGCACCACGGGTGCTGCTGGTACCGCATCAGCAGTAACAGCCGCATACAAAAACCGACGAAATCCCTCGCTGTGAAAGCAAAGTGACGAGCAACGCCAAGGAACACAAAGCAGGGGCACAACAACAGCTGTGGCCGCCACGTGCCGCTTATGGTGGGGCCTTGCCTGCGCCAGCATGGAGGAAGCCGGATCGCCCGCCCCTGAGGCGAACCGCCCAAGCACCGACGCGGGGTCGTCCCCTCCGTCTGCTGCAAGGGCCTCCTCTAACTCCGACAGCCTGCGCTCCGCCGAGGGGGGGTCGTCAATGACAAGAAGAATCCGATTAATAAAGGGGGGGGGGGGGGATGAACGGGACAACGACCACCGATGCGATGCGCAAGCGTTGTAAGCGCTGCTGATGGTTCTCTAATACCTAGAACGGCAAGACGAGGGTGAGCTAGTGCTTGCAGGGGGCATCGGAGAACACGAACGGAACCCAAGTAAAAACAAATGCCGCGAGAATGTCGTGCACAACAGACGCGAAGGGGGGATTCTGATGCTTGATCGCTTCCACGCTTCGACATGATTATTCGTTGGGCTGCTGCACACCGTCCATTGCCCTTCTGGTTCATCGAATGGCCGGCGTTTGGGCCGATAAGGTTGCGAGCGGTACTTGGACTACCCCCCGACCCTCCCCCCGACCCTTCGAAGCCAACGGAAACGAGCTCGGCCGCTCAAAAAGAGAGCCGCGGTTGGATCGTCAGCGTGTCCAACGGGCGTGAGACCGGCGGCGGCAGTGTCATCGTCTTCGCCCAAGGTCACAGCAAGTCGCGTTAGCCTTATATACCTATGTGTCACTCCCCACTAGCTAAAACGTGCGGAAAGCTTCCATCATAGTCCAACGCCAGGCACACAAAGCATCAGGTGTCCGAAGGAGACAAGGAGGCTCGGAAATACAATAGGCAATAGCTGGCGTTCCCCTCAACACCCTGCGTGCAACCATGCACAACGTCGTGCATCACCACCACCACGGCGACAAAAAAAAAACAAACGTGCTACGGTACCAATCAACAACGTGGACACGGAACACAAAATACCGGTCCCAAACGCCGCCTACCTGTCTCTAGGCACGAGGTGAGTGGCGAGGCCGCAATGCAACAGGTCGTTCCCCCGCAGCCTTGCACCCGTCAAGCCCAGGTATTGCCCCAGCCCCCCAGGCAGCCTGGAGAGAACGTGCGCCGTGCCAACGTCGGGGAATAGCCCGATCACTGGTCTCGGGTAGTTTAGACGGATTCGCCGGCGACATCAAGGAAGAGGGTGCCGACCGGGGGGGGGGGGGGGGGGGGAAAGAATTTTCTTTTTTTTTTCTTTCCATTAAAAACGTTCCCAATCCTACCCCAAAATTTGGGGGGGGGTCCCAAAAAAAAAATTCCGGGGGCCGCATAAAAAAAATTGAAGGCCGAAATTTTTGTTTTTTCCGGGGGGGTGTTTCCCCCAAACTTAAAAAATCGGGAAATCCCCTTTTTCCCCCATTTTTCCCGGGCCCCCCCCAAAAAGGGGGGGGGGGAAAAAAACAAAAAAGGGGGGAAAAGGGGGGAAAAAAAAAAAATTTCA